TATAGGATGGCTTAAAAATGTCAAAAAACGTCATAGTATAGTATGGCAAAAAATTCAAAAAAACATCATGATATATTAAGGCATAAAAGGTCATAAAAACGTCATAGTATGGCAAGGCATTAACCTACATAGTATAGAAAGGCATAAAAATGCCAAAAACATCATTTTATAGGATGGCATAAAAATGTCAAAAAACGTCATAGTATAGTATGGCAAAAAATTCAAAAAAACATCATAAAATATTAAGGCATAAAAGGTCATAAAAACGTCATAGTATGGCAAGGCATTAACCTACATAGTATAGAAAGGCATAAAAATGCCAAAAACATCATTTTATAGGATGGCCTAAAAATGTCAAAAAACGTCATAGTATAGTATGGCAAAAAATTTAAAAAAACATCATAAAATATTAAGGCATAAAAGGTCATAAAAACGTCATAGTATGGCAAGGCATTAACCTACATAGTATAGAAAGGCATAAAAATGCCAAAAACATCATTTTATAGGATGGCATAAAAATGTCAAAAAACGTCATAGTATAGTATGGCAAAAAATTCAAAAAAACATCATAAAATATTAAGGCATAAAAGGTCATAAAAACATCATAGTATGGCAAGGCATTAACCTACATAGTATAGAAAGGCATAAAAATGCCAAAAACATCATTTTATAGGATGGCTTAAAAATGTCAAAAAACGTCATAGTATAGTATGGCAAAAAATTCAAAAAAACATCATAAAATATTAAGGCATAAAAGGTCATAAAAACGTCATAGTATGGCAAGGCATTAACCTACATAGTATAGAAAGGCATAAAAATGCCAAAAACATCATTTTATAGGATGGCATAAAAATGTCAAAAAACGTCATAGTATAGTATGGCAAAAAATTCAAAAAAACATCATGATATATTAAGGCATAAATGGTCATAAAAACGTCATAGTATGGCAAGGCATGAACCTACATAGTATAGTATGCCAAAAAACATCATTTTATAGGATGGCATAAAAATGTCAAAAAAGGTCATAGTATAGTATGGCAAAAAATTCAAAAAAACATCATGATATATTAAGGCATAAATGGTCATAAAAACGTCATAGTATGGCAAGGCATGAACCTACATAGTATAGTATGCCAAAAAACATCATTTTATAGGATGGCATAAAAATGTCAAAAAAGGTCATAGTATAGTATGGCAAAAAATTAAAAAAAACATCATAATATATTAAGGCATAAAAGGTCATAAAAACGTCATAGTATGGCAAGGCATTAACCTACATAGTATAGAAAGGCATAAAAATGCCAAAAACATCATTTTATAGGATGGCATAAAAATGTCAAAAAACGTCATAGTATAGTATGGCAAAAAATTCAAAAAAACATCATAAAATATTAAGGCATAAAAGGTCATAAAAACATCATAGTATGGCAAGGCATTAACCTACATAGTATAGAAAGGCATAAAAATGCCAAAAACATCATTTTATAGGATGGCATAAAAATGTCAAAAAACGTCATAGTATAGTATGGCAAAAAATTCAAAAAAACATCATAAAATATTAAGGCATAAAAGGTCATAAAAACATCATAGTATGGCAAGGCATTAACCTACATAGTATAGAAAGGCATAAAAATGCCAAAAACATCATTTTATAGGATGGCATAAAAATGTCAAAAAACGTCATAGTATAGTATGGCAAAAAATTCAAAAAAACATCATGATATATTAAGGCATAAATGGTCATAAAAACGTCATAGTATGGCAAGGCATGAACCTACATAGTATAGTATGCCAAAAAACATCATTTTATAGGATGGCATAAAAATGTCAAAAAAGGTCATAGTATAGTATGGCAAAAAATTCAAAAAAACATCATGATATATTAAGGCATAAATGGTCATAAAAACGTCATAGTATGGCAAGGCATGAACCTACATAGTATAGTATGCCAAAAAACATCATTTTATAGGATGGCATAAAAATGTCAAAAAAGGTCATAGTATAGTATGGCAAAAAATTAAAAAAAACATCATGATATATTAAGGCATAAAAGGTCATAAAAACGTCATAGTATGGCAAGGCATTAACCTACATAGTATAGTATGCCAAAAAACATCATTTTATAGGATGGCATAAAAATGTCAAAAAAGGTCATAGTATAGTATGGCAAAAAATTCAAAAAAACATCATAAAATATTAAGGCATAAAAAGTCATAAAAACATCATAGTATGGCAAGGCATTAACCTACATAGTATAGAAAGGCATAAAAATGCCAAAAACATCATTTTATAGGATGGCTTAAAAATGTCAAAAAACGTCATAGTATAGTATGGCAAAAAATTCAAAAAAACATCATAAAATATTAAGGCATAAAAGGTCATAAAAACATCATAGTATGGCAAGGCATTAACCTACATAGTATAGAAAGGCATAAAAATGCCAAAAACATCATTTTATAGGATGGCTTAAAAATGTCAAAAAACGTCATAGTATAGTATGGCAAAAAATTCAAAAAAACATCATAAAATATTAAGGCATAAAAGGTCATAAAAACATCATAGTATGGCAAGGCATTAACCTACATAGTATAGAAAGGCATAAAAATGCCAAAAACATCATTTTATAGGATGGCTTAAAAATGTCAAAAAACGTCATAGTATAGTATGGCAAAAAATTCAAAAAAACATCATAAAATATTAAGGCATAAAAGGTCATAAAAACATCATAGTATGGCAAGGCATTAACCTACATAGTATAGAAAGGCATAAAAATGCCAAAAACATCATTTTATAGGATGGCTTAAAAATGTCAAAAAAGGTCATAGTATAGTATGGCAAAAAATTCAAAAAAACATCATGATATATTAAGGCATAAAAGGCCATAAAAACGTCATAGTATGGCAAGGCATGGAACTACATATTTTAGTGAGGCATAAAAATGCCAAAAAACATCATTTTATAGGATGGCATGAAAATGTCAAAAAAGGTCATAGTATAGTATGGCAAAAAATACAAAAAAACATCATGATACAGAATGTCATGAAGACGTCAAAGTATCACAGTACTGGCAAGGTAACCATAACAGACTGAGATGTCATGCAATCTATGCACACATTGGTGCCAACTTAGATTCGAACCCACAACCTATGGAATGAAAGGTAAAAGGTCTAACCACTCGACTACCATGTCAACTTAAAGTTTATTGTCATGATAGTGAAGGTTAAAGACGTCATAGCATATACAGCCATAAAACATGATCGTATATAGGGCATAAAAACCTCAAAAAAGTAATAGTATAGTAAGGCATAAATCGTCACAGTACAGTTAGGCAAAAAGTTGCAAAAAATGTCATAGTATAGTATGGCAAGAAATAAAAATAAAAAACATCATAATATATTAAGGCATAAAATGTCAAAAAAACGTCATAGTATGGCAAGGTATTAACCTACATAGTATAGTATGCCAAAAAACATCATTTTGTAGGATGGCATAAAAATGTCAAAAAAGGTCATAGTATAGTATGGCAAAAAATTCAAAAAAACATCATAAAATATTAAGGCATAAAAGGTCATAAAAACGTCATAGTATGGCAAGGCATGGAACTACATAGTTTAGTGAGGCATAAAAATGCCAAAAAACATCATTTCATAGGATAGCATAAAAATGTCAAAAAAACATCATAGTATAGCATGGCAAAAAATTTAAAAAAAACATCATAATATATTAAGGCATAAAATGTCATAAAAACATCATAGTATGGCAAGGCATTAACCTACATAGTATAGTGTGGATGTTTTTTGACATTTTAATGCCATCCTATAAAATTATGTTTTTTGGCATTTTTATGCATTAATATACTATGTAGTTTAATGCCTTGACATTCTATGACGTTTTTATGACCTTTTATCCCTTATTATATTATGATGTTTTTTTGAATTTTTTTTGCCATACTATACTATGAAGTTTTTAACATTTTTATGCCATCCTATAAAATTATAATTTTTGGAATTTTTATGCCTTACTATACTATGTAGTTTCATGCCTTGCCATACTATGACATTTTTATGACCTTTTATGCCTTAATATATTATGATGTTTTTTTTTTAATTTTTTGCCATACTACATGCCTTATGTATACCATGACGTTTTTATGCCTGACTATACTATGACTTTTTTTGAATTTTTTTGCCTTACTATACTATGACGTTCTTCTTCCTTACTATTTTATGACTTTCAATGCCATAGTCCATTATGACAAATTTTGCCATTTTTATGGCATTGTATTCATTAATTGTAAATAAATTTTTTGACAATTTTATACCACACTTTACTGTGATGTTTTCATGCTTCATTATACTTTAATGTTTTCACACCTTACTATACTGTGATTTTCATATCCTTATTATACCATGACATTCTAATGCCTTACTAAACTATGTTCCCAAAGTGTGATTCAAACCAAGATTCCTCGCACTTAGAGGTGACTGTTCTTACCATTGTACTACCCTGCCTCCTTATTAAAAAGGCATATTATGGTAAGGCATACAAATTGATAGTACATTAAGGCATAAAAAGTAATTGTATACAAAGTCACACTAAGTCATAAAAACGTCATAGTATAGTAAGGCATAAAAACGGGTGTAACTCAGTACTGCAGGATTATTTAGATATCATATGAAGTAGTATGATAGATAGTATATGAGTAGATTTGATTGTTTAGAATTTTTTGCCAGTACTTTGAAATATACTAGATTTGACAGAATAGTCAAATCCACAGGAAATATCTCTTAAAATGCTACTCTCTCAGATACAGTCACTAAAATGCATTATTGCAAATTAAGCATTTCCCTTCTAATTCAAAATATACTGTTGAAAGTGACTCTATAGGGATTTACAACCCTTTTGTGAATGGCGTCATAGCTTAGTGTTAAAATAATTTATTAATTTAATACATAGGTTGATTCTAAGTAGTGATGATGTTCCTCATGTTATGTTTTCAGATTTCCTATCGGCTCTTTGAGGACACAGGTCTGTTTGAGACCTTCAGGATTCCTGTACAAGAGTTCATGAACTACTTCCATGCTTTGGAGAATGGTTACAGGGACATCCCTTGTGAGTAGAAGGTCTCCCATGCTCAAGTTAGTTATTATTATGGAGCATTACCTTTATCTGCCACAAGGTGGATGTACTGCTTTGTCAGAGAAATAAAGGCACCACTAACACTAACAGGCTTACTCTGTGCTTCAGTAGTTTGTGGCATGTTCATATTTCTCACAGTTGACAATAATATAAAGTTTCCTGATGGTTAAATTTTTAGTGTTTAATTTCAGAAGAGGATCATATCTATGGTATGGAGACCATGAGCTTTGTTTTCACAAAGCATTCATAAAATACATTTGAAATACAGCACGTGACCAAAGTAAGACAATTATTAGCAGTGTTTTTGATAACACAATCTGTACATTTTGAATGAAATATTAATAACCTTTTATACTCTCGCTGTTGTAGCCAGTTTTATAATCACACTTAACATACACTTAGTTTGTATGTTTCCGTGGCCCATCATGTTAATCATGTTCCTGTGTGCCATTTTGCATTATATATCATGTAGATTTTGACCAGTCTCCTGTACAGAAGTGTGAGCCTGAGACACAGCCTGTTTACTACTTTAACTTAGATCTTTTACAATTTCAGTATCTCAGCTTTAAGTTAATAACAGCTGACTGCTATCAATATTAGCCCTTTTCAAAGAAGGAATTTACTCCATAAATGCTCTGCTAATTTCACCTGTTACCATTATGATTGGAAAAGACTCTGCATTACAGCATTGAAGAGATATGACTATGAGGGGAGACATTTGCAAGCTACACAAGCCACACTTCTTTTGTAAAAATGCCTGAACACTGATGTGATGCCAAAATTAAAGAACTGGTGAGATAACAAGTTAACAGAATCTCATCCTGCACATTGAACATAACGTGCCAGATTCTCAGTAACACAGCAGCATTGTCTCTATTTGATCTATCATGTTTGAACAGAGGCCCTTCTTTTAAATGTATTACAGATTCATGACTGAGAAGGGGTTTTATTTTTCAGTTCAGTTTAATCAGTTTAATTGTGTCAAACTGTAGAATGGTTAAAACTGAGTGGTAACACAAGAGATTTCATCACAGTGGTCTTACTGCCCTCCACTGGTGTGAGTTAGAACTTTTTTTCTCTCCAGATCACAATCGGATCCATGCCACTGATGTTCTGCATGCTGTTTGGTACCTCACCACTCAGCCTGTGCCAGGTCTGCCCACCCTGCTGACTGAGAACGGGATACACACTGGTGAGGACTTTTTATACACACAGTATTTTCTCATGACCAAACCTCAAGATCCTTCCATCTTCCCCATATTTTGGGCAATATAAATCTCTCATTTTGTTCCATTCTCTTAGATTGTAGTTGCAGCATTTTTATTCTGGTGGTGTAAATCATCAAGATACATTCATTTGTTTTCAATCACGGTTCTATGTCAAAACAAATCCAACTTCAGGGCACCCCTGTGGCTTAGGGGTTCAGACGCCAATCATGAACCACAAAGGTCACAAAGGGACTGCATATGTAAATTATCTAGAAGCTATAATCTGGTGTGGCGCATGAAATGGTGACATTTATGTTGAAAGCTGCACATGGTCCCTTTTAAATAAAATAAATGAATAAGTAAATCCGGGCTACGGACCTTTATTTATTATCTCTCTCACTCATCTCCTGTTATCTCTCTCTCTTTTCACCTTTTAATAAAGTCATAAAATGCCATGAAATATCTATAAAAAATATCAACAAATCCAACTTCATGTTTTGGTCTTGCATTAATTGAGTGAGGAAGGTCAGTGAGGTTATAATACTGATAAGACTAGAACATGTAATACATCAGTCGTATTAGTGTTGCACACATTCACAGAGGCAGGCAAAGAGAAACTGAGTCAGAAAAGGCAGGCGGATAAAAGTGTGTACACAAACAGAGGACGAGTAAACACACAATGACTTACTTATAGTTGAATAATTAAGGTCTTCCTTATTGGTCTTATAGCTCTTACAACTTAAGCAAATGTTTCTGCTTTATTTATTTTCACTCGTTTCTATATCTTGAACAATTTCACAAGTGCAGTGTGATAGCAAACTATCCTGGTACACCCACCATCACATTTCATTACTTTATTTATTTTTATTTTCTCTCCTGTTGCAAATTGATAAACTAGTCTAATAGCACCTTAGGTTTTATAGTAAGTAATCAAAGTAAGCGGCAGCATTTCAGCAGAGAGCACCCTCAGTGACTCAGGATCGGTATGTGTTCTCTTTCTGCCTGTAGACTCAGAGAATGGCATTACACCTGGTGCTACAGGCTTCCTGGTGTCCCAGATGAACTCTGTGCTGGAGGAAGGCTATGGCTCCCTGGCTGGCCTTATCCCTGGCCTGGAGCTCATGGCCCTGTATGTAGCTGCTGCCATGCACGACTATGACCATCCTGGAAGAACCAACGCCTTTCTAGTAGCTACCAGTGCACCACAGGTAAATAAATGTAGGTGTGCTTCAGTGGACCTACAGTCCACTGATTGAACTATTGCTGTTACTGCAACTTCAGTCAGCCAGCTCACAAGAAATCTGTGTTTTTACTGTATGTGAGTAAGGAACATGTATAGCCACAAGCAAACACCAAGCTCAGACATTAATAATAAACTTCCACCAAAGAGTCCCACTCAAGCTACCATGTGGCCATTTCCCAACAAAGACCTCCAATGATGAAGAAACTATGTCATCTAATGAACTGAGATGGATACATCTAAATTCAGAAGTCTGCCTGGTATGCATTAGCAGTACAAGATGGCCAGCTTCAGCTATGCAGCAGATAATTATTAATTTAACCATTCATGCCTTTAAGAAGACAGTGTGTGTTGACTCAAAATGTTCTGCAGCGTTGATCAGCAGCAGATCACCATTAGTTCGCTGATATGAGGTAAAAGTGTAGCTGTGTGTATCACCAGTATAAACCTTTAGAGTAGTTTAGATGACATGATGTGAGGATTAGTAAAACAAGCTGTCAAATGAAATGTTTTTTGTAACACTTTGCTGAATATCAAATGTATGGATTAATGTGAATGATACTGCTTATCCTCTGTGTTAAAGCAATATTACAGGAAAATATATTATTTGAAGATGAGCATTCATAATATTCAAACATTAGTTTTCATATTTCATTACAGCTTAATAAAACTCAAAATGATCAAAATGCAAAAAGCCAACCAGCAATCAAAAGTTAAATGAGCTCCGCAATTACAAAGAAGTCATTCACAATAAATACCAAAATACTGAACAGGATTATAGTTATAGAGTAAGTGGGAAAAAAGTAGAAACCACACCTCACACAATCTGTATGCAGGTCAGGGCTTAAGGGCTTTACACTTTTAGGCCTTAAATTAAAATGTGTTGTTCATTTAAGGACTAAATCAAATCATGTCAAATTTTAAGTAAGCTCTTGTGGGTTTCCCATTGAAGACCGGCATCAAATGTTAACTTCACTTTCTCCTCCTCCACCATAGGCCCTTCTATACAATGACAGATCGGTCTTAGAAAATCATCATGCAGCTTCAGCTTGGAACCTCTTTATGTCTCGGCCCGAGTATAATTTCCTGGTTAATCTTGAACATGTGGAGTTCAAGCGCTTCCGCTTCCTAGTCATTGAAGCCATCCTGGCCACTGACCTCAAAAAGCACTTTGATTTCCTCGCAGAGTTTAATGCAAAGGTAAGCATTCGAATCTGCCACATAAACTGTAGAAAAAGTGACCATCTGCCATTACTGTTGTGTCATTGATTATCTCTTCCCAGCTCTTGTTTTCTTGTTTAATATTTTGATGTTTTCCTGTAATAAAAATGGCCTTTTCCTCCAGATTGTCCTAAATTTATGTTGACAACTAATCAGTAGGGAATTCCTATTAATCCATAATTGAGTTTCTCTTTTTGTGCACATACCTCCCTCTGAACATCTCCCCAGGTGGGTGATGAAGGTGTCTCTGGTATTGATTGGACTAACGAGAACGACCGATTGCTGGTGTGCCAGATGTGCATCAAGCTGGCTGATGTCAATGGACCGCTGAAGTGTAAGGAGCTACACCTGCAGTGGACGGAGGGGATCGTCAACGAATTCTACGAACAGGTATGCATATAAAAATGTCTGCAATTTAATCGGAACAAGTGGTCGTTAGCTGGTCTGATAAATAAAACATCACTTTCAAAGTTAGTAGCATTTGGACAGATAGAACCTCATTCATAAATGAATGGAAGTGTACTGTAATGAACACAGTAAGAACTGAAATATATCCATGTGCAAAAACATTTTGCAAAAAAAGGTTGCTTACAGAACTGAAAAAACAGCTCAGCTGATATTTTTTTAGTTGCACCTAATTAAAACTAATGCAGTCTAATTCAATAGTCCTGTAACAGATTATCCCCCCATGGTTATAATGTTCAGTTCCTACTGATACTGATTTAGAGAGGTGCTGATTCAACCTCATGATCATTTTAGATGATGTAGTTTATGAACTGTATTGCATTACACACAGATGTGTTTATGTTTTTTAGCTTACCCTTTGTTATATAAATGAAGTGGGCAAAATAATAGAAACATCTGTCCTACACAATTCAACAACACCACAAACTGCAGCCTCCAAAATGATTATCAGGTTCAATCACCTCTCTAAAACAGTTTATATATATATATATATATATATAAGCATCATGAAGTTAGGATATATCAGTGGACTATGAATTTGAATTTGACCAAAAGCAAGAATTCAAACATAATGAAAATAATATATAATGTGAATTTGCATTCTAATGCCCCATCAATAATATGAAACTTTTTATCCTTTTGCTTGCCTTCTTCCACTGGAAGGTCATAGGTCAGGCAACTGCATAAGAGCACCTCTGCAGGTGATAGGGATTTAGGGCCCTTCAGCAGGGTTTTTTGTGTTCAACTGCATGTTCCCTCAGAACAGAAATAGAATATTCAGAACACTTACCTACTAACTCATGAATTGGTTAGAGACTATTGTAGACAGATGCCTGGCAACAAATCCTGCTAACATTGCCTGTGATTGGTTAGTTCAAGTCGATAAAGATAAAATCTGCTTAGCCAGAGAGATATGATTACCTCCCTAGCAACAACATGTTGTAAGTGGTGTAGCACTAATTAGAGCCTTTTGAGCCAAAATTGAAGCTAATGCAGATTTTCTTTTCTCAGTGGTATCCATAATGTTCACTCTTCTCAACATTTGAAATCTCTGTATTTATACACAGCTGTACAGGCCGTAGCAGAAGTTTGCTTTGTTTATTTTGTTCATCCATTCAATTTTTAATGAAGGGAACTTGCATACTAAGTAAATCAGACTACTGCGTATCCGCTACAAACCTCTAATCAGAACTGCCCTGATAAAGAAAATGTCCTCCCTCTGATCTGTGTCTAATGCTTAGCATTCTGCTATGTCTCTCAAACCTTCTGTTCAGTTCTCATAATAGCTTTGAGAATTATGTATGTCCTATGAGCGGGAGCTTCGGGGGGTGGGTGAAGTGAGAGAGAGCGGGTGAGAGACAGAGGATGTGCGTATGCTTCCCTCAGAGGGGAGAAGGATGACCTAAATGTGTCATCCTTGACAGCGCTCATTCACAACCACACAGGAAGATTACAAGGATGGAACTCCGTGGCAACAGAGTCAGTACAGATGTGCGCACACACACACACACACACACACACACAACATACAAACGCATTTACATTATGCTCTGCAATGCACCACTTTTAATATTCCAAACATTAGCACCCCACTCATGTTCTTACTATACATACACACACACATACACCTCTATCAGGAGCCACTAGTGCAGTGCACTGACGCCATCCAGGTTTCTGGTTGCTATAGCAATTGAAGCCCTTGCCCCTCTCACCCTACTGAATTGCTTTGAAAGCCCTGACATTAGACAACAAACACAAAAGCACAATACATGACTGTGACAATGTGTGAAAGTACAACACAAAAATATGCTGTGTAACATAAAACACAACATAGAGCTGCCTGTATTATCAACTGAGAAAATCAATTCATATTATTTCACTTTTCATTTATTTTCTATCAAGATCAATGCTGGAACCAGTCAACCAATCAGCAAAAGAAATCCAAAGATGAGACCCCAACCACCTTGGCTGTATAGGACACGCGTTCATCACAGCTCTGTCTTTGTGGACGCAAAATAGAAAAATGAATGAATGACAAATATCCCAAGGATGAGGACAGAACAGCAAGACTCCACTTTGGCCTCTATTACAATATGATTACAAACCTTTGATATATTGTGGAGAGTTTGACTTTTGTGGTTATTACACCCAGCCTGCCCATATATGGTGGTAAAAAAAAGAATCACTCAGAACCTTTACGTCAGCCTTTATTAATGGTGACCTTGTGGGTACAAATACACTATTTCCAGAACCATTACTGTGCCAAATCTCTGCAAACAGTCTCATTTACATGACCGATACCTACAGAACAGCCATTGATGCTTTCCTATTTGTAGTCTTCTTGACCTACTTTCAGGAGGCTGTACCCAGAGGCAGTGTGTCTGGGACTTTCTGTGCATGCCAGTGGAGTAGTACAGGGGACAAACTGTATATCTGCATATCTAAGTTAACAACTTAAGACGACTTGAGTGACATAGAGTTTATCCTACATGTGTGAGCCTGAGATCATTTCAATGTCATATATCAATATGTAATGTAATTGATATAATGTGGTACTTTTCTCAATAAAATGTACAAATGAAACAATAAACACCAGGAGTAATACCCACAAAAATCAAAACATGAAACACAGAGAGAAATTTTCATTTAAAAAACATAGAAAAGCAGTTAAAGATGTTTTTCTTGAGCTCAACAGGCGAAGTGTTGTGAAGTCTGCAAGTTTTCACAGTAAAAGGCTGTCAGTAGTGTTTTAAACGAATTCAGTTGCCTGTGTTTTATACTTCTTGACAAGTAATTATGCCATTTGTTTTATTTTGTTAACAGCACTTTGAACATTCAATCCAGTAACAGAACAAACAAAAAAGACTGACTTACGTTTGTACTATATTTAGTGCAAATATCATGTGTCATCTGTCACTTGCTCTGTCTCTCATCAAGTTAAAAGCTTTTGAAACCAGAAAAAAACCCAATAAATTTTTTGTATTTATGCATGATCAAGATTCTGATGGTTTATAGTGACTTTAAGTGGACTGAAAGAGGTTCCTAAAAATCTCTGTTCTCTATTAATTTTGACAGTTTGCAAAGTTTGAATTTGAATGCCTCATGAATTCTTAAGAAGTGATGTTCAGTGGACTGAAGAGATCACAGGAGTCATTTCAAGCCACTTTTCTTTGCTATCTTGAACTCTCATCACTGTATAAAATAAATGTTGCATTTTTATGTCCATTTACATTTGATTATTTCTGTGCACCTGACTTATTTGCTATGTTTGTGCCCTTCTAGGGTGATGAAGAAGCAAGCCTGGGCCTTCCCATCAGCCCATTCATGGACCGGTCCGCTCCACAGCTCGCTAAACTGCAGGAGTCGTTCATCACTCACATAGTAGGACCTCTGTGCTCCTCCTACGACTCTGCTGCTCTTATGCCAGGACGCTGGTTTGACCCACCTGAGGGAGAGATGGAGCCAGAGGAGGCAAAGGAAGAACAAGTTACAGAAGAGGAGGAGGAAGATACAGCAGATGAGGACGCGTCAACAAGTTCCGACAACTCCCGTATGTCAACCTCTTAGTTATTCATGCTGCAGAAAATATGTCACTGATTATATTGAGTTTGAGTGGCCCCTAATAATATCTGTCTCAGTGAGTATTCAGTCTATATCACTTGGTGAGACCTGAGCAGATTTGACTGCACTTGAAGAGTACAGTATGTTGTTCTTTTTTTTTTGGCTCATCTCTTGGGGTAAAATTAAGGTCAAGTGAAGATTCAAAATCAGCACTGTTGGTGGAAGCTTTTTTTTTAGGCTGAGAGTCACAAAAGGAAATCAATCACCGGGCTTAGTCTAAGAGCTTTAGTGGTGTCGCTTGATTTAAGTCTTGGTGGATTTGAAGAGGAACAGGATCAAATTCTAAAGTCCGTGTGAAGCCATATCCAAGTAATGCCCCGTTTCACCTCTGCTTTATTCACCATGTGCACCAAAATTAATTTCTAAATGGGACATAAAGGGGCATTGTTTTTTGATTAATATGAAAAGGTGGTTTCAAAGTATTCATGTGCAAGGGAGAACTGATATCCACTTTATCATTATTTATAACGCAGCGCATTGTAGTTACAACTAGTTTTCTCATCTTATTGTACTTGGCCCATTCAAATGAGTTTAAAGCTGTAGATTTGAGATTTGCTGCTGTGTAGGTAGCATTTTACATTTTACTAAGACTGTCTTTGCTCAATTTTTGTATAGATTTAGTTTTAATTACATTTATTGGAAGGCATTTGTACCACTGGAGTCACTTCCTACAGCTGTGCCATATTTGGAAAGGATGCCAACAGAGACTGCATTGATCATTATATAGTTAACATACTGAATGGCCCATTTCAAGAAACAGTTTGACATTTTAGGAAATATATTTATTCCTTTTCTTTCTGAGCGCTAGATGAGAGGATTGATGTGGAGCTGCACAGTCACCAGCAGGTCAGATTGTAATTGTACTGTGCAGCTTCCAGGTGTGAATGTGTAACAGTGGGTTCCTGTAAAAGAGAGGAAACTACCCTGAATAAATAAAGGTTAAAAAAAATCTGTCCATGATATATGAAGCTGGATCTAGGAGAGGGTTAGCTTAGCTTAGGATAAAAACTGGAAACACAGGGGAAAATAACAATTAGTCTCTGTTCAAAGCTTTAGGCACATACCCATAAATCCACAACTTGTTTTTACATTTAAGTTTTTACGTGTATAACTTGTTAGTGAGCTTTAGATAGTTCCCCATTTCCAGTCTTTGTGCTAAGCTAAGCTAACCGTTTGTATCACGGACATAAATTTGCATTTGTGCTACAATCCGGCACGTTTACATCATGTATTTTGTACTGATGCTCATTCACATGCATTGTCCCGGTCAAATAGATGAATAAATAAATAAATCCTTTCATCTAACTCTAAGAAAGCAAACAAGCATTTTTCTGAAAATGCCAAACTATTCATTTAAGGCCATGTACTTTCTGAGGAGCTTGTCTAACTGTCAGTTTTGTGTCTGACAGAGCGGCAAGAAACCAAAAAGGTGAGCAGGAGAAAAGTGTTTTGCCAGATCACGCAACATATTTTGGAAAACCATGAAATGTGGAAAAGAGTGATCGCCACAGAAGCCCAGGAGGAGGCCCAGAAAGGGGACCCAAACTGCATCGGCAGCCCCACTGATCCAATCACAGCCATTCATGAGGAAGAGGAAGAGCAAGCAAGCAAAGAGGAGTCTTCGACTGACGGCCTTGATGAAAGGGAAGAGGTGCCAGCTTTAGAGGAAGAGGAAATCCTTTCGCAATCAGAGACTTCAGGGGAAAAAGAGGACGAACCAGAGTGATATTATGAACTTTGACCTCCTCTTAAACCAGGAATCTGAACGTTGTCTAAAAATGTTTGTTTCTTTCCTAACTAAACTCTTGATATCGTAGCCAGCACATCACTTTGACACAACACTGTAGAAGATGTTTTGGGTAATATGTGCCTAACAAAAACAGGGTTTGAGGACAGGGATGATGCATGCCCAGTGCATCTGACAAGGAGAGAGAGGTGAGATGGGCAAAAGATGAAATGACTACGAGGCCGAAAAAGAAGCTGAAAAAGAAAAAGAGAATGATTGGGACTGTATTTGTTTTTGTTGTAGTGTTTGTTTTAGTCTGGATCTGGTGCCCTGCCCTCACCCAGGCTGCCCATCCTGCACTATGAGCCAACCACGCTGATTCACTCATTCACTCTACCAGTGAGTAATACACTGTCACAAGTCCCCCCACCCACCCTTCTTCTTGTTGCTCCCATGCTATCAGCACACTGTGGAGCCCCCGGCTGGTTGAGGATGTGCAACAAGCCCCTTCTCCTTGAGGACAATGGGATGAAAGCCAGGGAAAAGGCTGTGTCCACTGAGGCTCAGCCGTGTGGATTTCAGAGGGAGATGGAAAAAAAGAGCCAGTTGTAGTACATTGTGTATCCAGACAAACACCCACACAAGCTTCACAGACGCACACTCACACAGGCATATACACAATGCTACAGTAGAAACACATTCCATACACAGAACTGATAGAAGTTTAACAAAGAACCCTGTTGCTATAAAAGCTTTATTCTCACTCAAAGAAAAACATACAAAACAAGGTTTTGTTCATGACAAACAATGCTTTTCCCTAGTCGCATGTTTTCTCCCTTTCTTTTGTTACGCAGAGTCAGTCCAGCACACCAACACATTTCCAGGGCACACAACTCAGGAAAGCAGAGACCCATAGAGAAAAAAACACAAAAAGGACTAGCAGTGTCCTTGTCCTTTTAATTGCCACTGCTTCAATTCGATTTTCCTTCTGTGCAGTATGAGATGTTATTGATTAACTGATGTCGCTAGATACACGGTTCCCTTTGTGCATGACAAAGGAACCACGAGGTAAACAAGATTATTGATCACATTACACTGTCTGTCAACTACAACACAGCAGATCACACTGTTAACCACATTCAAACTAACATACAAAGCACAAAACTAGGTAATAAGGTAATGTGTTTTGTTAAGTTAAGCATTTGTGTTCATATTTTATGTAACTTCCCACCGTGTTTGCTTAATCTTTACAGTAATGTACTCTCTCATGAATTCTTTATCATTTCTAACCCGGTATGTAGGCCAAATGCTTCAGAAAGTGAGTAATCCAGTAAGCCATAGTGGCCCAGGCCAGAGCTGACTCACGACTCCAAATCACCCGAGCGGATTTACGTCAATAAGACATAAAAAGAAAAAAAAAAAAGAAAAACCCTGTGGTGCCTATTGCCAAGCAGGAGGTGCTGTGTGCAAGAAACTACGTAGAAGTCTCAATCAGATCTATAATATTCAAACTGTCATTATTTTGTTGCTCAAAAAGGCATAGAAGATTATATGAAATGAATAATGTACCCAGCTTACTCTTAAAACAGAAAAACAACCACAGCTATGTACCTGTAAACTATTATTAATATATGTTGTTAATTATTCATTAAGATAAGTTAAGTCAAATTTAGGTTTAATGAAGTGCAACCCTTATAGTTTCAAATGATGCTGCCGGTGATCTTTTGTTACATTGTCAAAATCAAAATCAAAATATTTTGTTTGCTGTATGTGGTAAGTCTTCAATAAGAGCAAATAATAATGGCAGAGTGAGAGATAGAAGGATTTTACACATTGAAGAAGATGTCTTCATTTTGCATAGTTTCTTTAGACCAGCATACTCACCACACCTCTGGATGTTTTTTCTCCATTTGTAGTCCTCAGTGTCACATGGCGCATGGCTTAACAGGTGGTGTCATGCTGTCCTTTGATGTCCTCAGAGATTCAGATTGGTGGTAATGGAGAAGAAGTGTGAAGAAGGAGAACAGCCTTAGTAATGAGGCTTAGTAATGAAAGAGGAAGGAGGAGAAGAAGAAGCTTTTTAGCTTGACTTGCAGCTGCTTATGAGGGGGTCAGAGGGGGCTCAGATCTTTTTTCACATTTCTGCAGATCCCTCTGGATGTAACTCTTTGAAGATGAGCCAGTTTGTTCTGATTGAAAATCATGTGATGATTTACATTTCCAAGTCTGCAAAATGTATTACAGGGACGTGCAGTACAGTGTATTTGATGTGACATTGTAAAAGCAACCGGGGCGCTTTGTGGATTCAGATACTGAGATCTGTAGCAGGTACTTTGTGTCTAAACTGCAAAGTGAACAAGGGCATATGTTAAATCAACTGAAAGACTTTCTTGGATATAGACAGCACTTTTTGGAGAAGCCTGACACTTAAGTCTGGCTCAAGAGGCGAGGTGGATGAGGTGGACTTACATAGAGCAGAGTAGGGTGTGGTTATATCTGCATGAGTTGTCAGAGGCTTGCAACACTGTAGTTCCAAAAAAAAAAGACTAGCTGATGTGCATATGAGATTACAGAAGATGCCCAGGAGTACTGAGATGTGTTAAAACACCATAAGCATTCACAAACAAAATAGCAAACACATAATTTGAAGCCAAACAAGTTGAGAGTGGCAGGTGAGCTCCTGGGTGAAGGTCAGAAAACGCTTTTAACATCGAAAAAGTAACATCAACAACAGGAAAACTTTATACGCTGGATAAAAACAGACTAAGAGACAGATTAAACAGGCTTGTTTGCAGACACTGTCTTAAGTTTTTACTGGCTGAACTTGCCCTGCTGTGACCCAATTTCTTAACTCAATTAGAGTTTGCTAACGTTAATACAGTCTAAATCCTCAGCTGTATCCATTGCACTGTTATGAAAATGCCCATTGTGCAAAGGAGAGCTAAACTGTGCAACATAATGCCCTTGACTGCTTATTCCCTGTACTTACAAAAGGGTGCAGTGGTTGAGCTTGTTTTTACTGCTATGAAAAAGAAAGCCTTTGCTAACCAAAGCCTGAGCTTATTGTTCGTTTTTCAGCTCATGTCGAGTGCTCTTAATAGGTGTTTTAGGTCTGTTTATTTATTTATTTATTTATTTTAATTTAGAATCATTATTGCAGACAACAAAGGAACTTAAAAAAAAAACTTAGCTGGGTTTCGTTTTACAAACTACAGTCCAGCATAATACACAATTAAAAGCAAAATTACCTCCAGCGTTAATGTGAATCAGACAGGAAGCCCTGGGCAAAAATAGTCCGTAATAAAAAGCTAATGTTGCTTAGCAACAGAAAAAAAGGAAAAGGCAAAGTGATATCTGACCCCTGAAACAATTTGTGTCTTACCTGCCAACACAAATGGCAGCAGTGTATTTTGTAGCGTTTGCAGCAAGATGCACAAATGTCTTCCAGTAGCCTCTCCTTGCATTGGCTTGTCATGATAAGTGCACCTGTAGCAGTAGAAGTGACCTGTAAACATCAGCTGACACACAACAGAGCTACAAAGCTGCGGGTCATAAGGCATCGACTGGGATGTTTTAGTTGAGCATTTCTGAAGCTCTGTAGAGCAACATAGCTTTCAAACTTAAGTTGTTCTAAAAATAACCAAGACTGTAAAAAGCTCTGCGAGCCTCCTGCCTCCATAAGGTATTTAAGCAGACATGAATGAGCTTGAGCTCCATCCACTGTAAATACCCTTCCCACCACACAGTGTGTCGATGCTTCACTTGCAGTCTAATGTTTTTCCTCACATCTCACACATGTACTATCCCGTGCTCCACCCTTCAGTTTTCTGCTTGAATTCTATGTAATCAGAGAAATCAAAGCTCACTAGGAATCAATAGACGCTCCCCACCTCTGATGTCCCCTCGTAGCCCTGCTTCTCTAACTTTTTACACTACAGTGCAGCAATCAAAGAGACTTAATCAAAGCTGTGATAGAATTTGGGGTTGCTATTTTTTGTCAAAAACAATCCAAAATATTAAAGCTTGTGTATGTAGCCGTTTAGGGAGTTTTGAGTAAGCTATTTGAGAGTGGTCAACTTGTTTCTTTCAGTTTTTTTGCAAATTACACCAATCATACAGTGTTCAATCATACATATCATGCAAACTTAACATAGTTCCTGACAATTTTTCCTAAATTTCCAGGCAGCCACTGGTTTCTTATTATTTCAGTACAGTATGGAAATCTATTAGCACACTCTTGAAACTTGCAAGATCTTTGTGAGCTGTAGGTCTGAATTATTTTTGACAGTGTTTTATTATTGTTACATCCATAATGCAGTTTAAGTGTAGATTGAGTTGAGAATTCATCATTACTGCATTATTTCATCACTTAACAATAACATTATATATATATATATATATATATATATATATAGACATGACTTTCACTGGGATGGATTACATCATTTTAAAACATTGTACAAGGATAAATAGAAACCAATGGATACCTGGAAGGGTCCGCATTTTTTGCAAAGTAGTTACTTGCGATGTTAAGTACACAGTAATTCATTTGTAGTAAATGGGTCAACGCATGTAAAACCACTGGAATGGTTCCATAATCTTTGTTGGGAAGCATTGTGATTATTATTTTTTTTAATTTACTGTAGATTAGATGGAGATTCTTGACCACCATGGCATAAAAGCTCATGGCATCTGTTGGCTTTTAGGTCTTCTCATCATAGGTACACTGGCCAATGGTTTGTATCTTAACCCTACTTCCTCTTGTTTTACAATATATAAAATCTCAGCCAGAAAACAAAAGTCCAGGGTCTAAAAGACAAACTTTTAGTTTATCAAAGCCAGTATAAGTGGTTTCTTGTAAAGAACGATAAGAAGGGGATTGCTGCACACTGGATTAACTTGTGCAAACCAAAGAAACTTTTTGAACTTTGTGGTTTTTTTGTGATTTGCACAAAATGAGCCCTAAGAAAGGAGCATGTTTCTTGCATCTTCTTTTTTGTCAGTGTTATCCAGAACCCAGTGAGGATGTCTCGATATGCATTTACTGCATCCTCATGCAAAGACAGGACAGATTAAAGCAACATAAGAACCATTTTAGCGTTCATCTAACAGAATGGAGCTCATGGTGTTGTACTGTCTGTTATTTCACTGCTGTGTCAATAGGCAGCAGTAGCACTACAATGGAACTGACTAACTGTTCTGTTCTCAGACTGAAGCCCTTGTAGTTTCTTTTTGATGGTTTGAACCAAAAATATTCCTTTTTGTATTGTTTGTTGTTTCAGACATTTTAAAAGGGAGCTATGCTCCTGTGCCATAACATTTTCACATATACGTATGTATGTATGTATGTATGTATGTATACATTGTTTGAATGCTATATGCATCAGCTTTCCTTGTTTGCCACTAAAGGAAACCAAAACAAACTTTTTTTCACCACCTTTAAAGCAAGACAAACAAGGCTGGTATGTTTTTATCTACTATAGCAGGCGCTTCACAGACTCAATTCTTTTTTTCTCTCCAGTATCTTGCACTTAACACATGTAGCAATACCTACAGGATGGGGAAATTGTGTGTTTCACCAGTATTTGTTTAAGTGGAATATGACATTTTATTTCTAGATATTGTTTGAATTTGTATAAAAAATATATACTGTACAGATTCAAAAGTATATTATAACAAAAAAAACTTTTAGAAAAATATTTATTTTTACCGTTTTGTAATTTAGACACAATACTGTAGCTCCTCTATTGCCAGACTTACTGGAAGTGCCTCTCGACAATGTATTACAAAGTAACTATACAATATATTGGGATTATTAGAACCTGTCACTAGCAGAGCAGTGTTGATGTTGTAATGTGAATATTGTTGAATAATAAGATTTATAAATGCTGCACACGTGTCTGTCTTGTTCTTAAGCCATTTCTGTCAACAAGTCATGGGAGGATTGCCAGTTAGACTTTACTTCATATTTATAACACTGTAAAATACCAGTTTGACTTCATATGAGTTGCAATTGTTCCAATAACACTGATCATATATTTTCAGCTGGTAATGAGTAACATGTACTCTATATACTTGCTTGATTAAAGTATCTCTTCCAGTCCTGTTGGTCCATAATTAATTATTAATTGCCTGACATATTACAGCCAATCCTGAATGACATACAGCACAGCCTCTATGCCTTCATTGTAGCTCTGACAATGTGTGCTAATAACTTTGTAAAGATGTTTAGAGGTTTATGTATTTTCTACTTGGTTGAATCTTGTGGTTATAATTTACGTGATCACAATATGTGCATATGTGTAGCCAAGTGCAATAGAGGAACACTGCAGTACAATACAGTAGCACTGTTTTACATACCATTAAGACAGTAGTGAATGTCAACAAAAACAGACCATTTGTTATCTTTAACCTTTTTACTCACATTCTCAGT